ACCCCTTGCACCAACAGGGAGGCCCCCTCTTCTTCCCCTTCTAAGAGCAGCTGCTCCCAAGTACCCATCATCAGCCGGTGGTGGAATCCCTGACCAGGAGCTGGAAGATTCTGCCTCCTGGCCCCTGGATTCAGGGGCAAAAAAATCAGTCCCAGGGGCCTCTTCCTCCAAGACAACACTGAGTAGCTGACACCAGCCACCAGGGCTTTGACCTCTCTCTTCACTACCCTTCATTGCCTTGCAAAATCTGGAGACAACTGCAGTGACCAGGGCCCAAGGAGGGTCACACACAGGGGTAGGAACCCTCCTCCATCTGTCACTTATTCATTCAACCAATATTTTCTGAGTTCCCACTCTGTGCTGGCTTTTGCCCACATGGAATTCACAGCAAAGTAGGGGAGACCCCCGAGAAACAGGAAAACAAACATCTAGTGCCATTTCAGGCAGCATCATGGCTGTAAAAAGAACACACAGGTGTTGCAGTGTGTGCTGGGCCAGGTCTGCACTTAGAAATGCTGGGCAGGGCAGGGCTCTATGAGGAGCGAGACAGGCTGGGTGCCAGGAGGACAGGCGACGACTCAGGCAGAGGCTTCCAGGCAGAGGAAGCAACAACTGCAAAGTTCTGTGGCTGGAAGGAACGTGGCATGTCTGGGGAGGTGCCAGAGGTCCAGGCGGGTTGTGGCTTGGTGATGGAGGACACAGAACTGGAGCTCAATGCGAGGGGCAGAGGCAGATTTCCAAGGCGCCTCAGTTGTTCTCAGTGTGCTGTGAAACACCAGGCCCCATGACCCAGACCAGGAGCCCGGAACTTCCTGAGATGAGAACAGGCCTAGAATCCAGGGAGCAGCCTGGTAAATCTCTCCAAAGCCTTCCCCTTCAGAGGTGCTGGGTGCTCTCAGGTGCCTTCAGGATCCATGTCATAGGCTGGCACCAAATCCTCTGTAACAAGTTTGAACCTTCTCTCACAATTCTTCTAAGCCAGCCTGTTCCAGCCAAACTGGCCTGCTGGCTGTGGCGTTTTCCTCCCTCCACCCCCGTATGTGCTGTGAGCGCTCCCTGGAACGCTCTACTCCCGCAGGGCCCCTCCGCATCGCTGATAACCCACCTCTCGCAGTGCCCCCCACTTTGAATAACTAGCAGCAGCAGTCACCATGTAGGCCCTTGCTGGCAAGCCCAGATGCCATGATGCCTGTGCCTCAGTTTCCCCCAAACACAGTCAGTCCCTCTAAGCAGTGACTGTGCCTTCCTTCTCTGCCTCCTTAACTCCTGGTGTATGCCTAACAAAGATACAAGTGTCATCAATTACTACTTCCACCATTAAGATAGCGACTATTAGCTAAAAAGACACTTCTCCAAAGAGGAAATGCAGATGGCCAACAGGCGTATGAAAAAATGTTCAACATCACTTGTAATAAGGGAGATGCAAATTAAAACCACAATGAGATACCACCTCACCCCAGTGAGAATGGCACATCTTCAAACAACTAGGAACAACAAATGTTGGCGAGGATGTGGAGAAAAAGGAACTCTCCTGAACTGCTGGTGGGGATGCAAACTAGTACAACCACTATGGAAAACTGTTTGGAGGTTCCTCAAACTGCTAAACATGGAGCTTCCCTACGACCCAGCAATCCCACTCCTAGGTTATCTACCCAAAAGACATAAAAACATTGATTGAAAAAGATACCTGCACCCCCAGGTTTATTGCTGCTTTATTTACAATTGGAAAAACATGGAAGCAGCCCAAATGCCCAAAAGTAGATGACTGGATTAGAAAGATGTGGTACATATATACAATGGAATAATACTCAGCAACCAAAAAAGAGAAACACATGTCTTTCGCAGCAACTTGGATGGAGCTGGAAAAGATCATGCTTAGTGAGATAAGCCAGAAAGAGAAAGAAAAATACCGGATGGTTTCACTCATAGCAGGAATGTAATGGACCAGGCGAGAAAATAACAAAAATAATGAACAACCATATACCAGAGACATTTTGTGGGGGTGGAGTGGGGAATGGGATCAAAAACGGGGGTGTTGGGAGGGAAGTGCACGGGATTATGGTGATGGCACATGGGTGACTTGGTGATGGGAAACCCGCGGGGATTCCAATCGAGATGGAAAAAAAAAATGTACAAAATGATGTAAAAATAAACTTTTGTAATAAAAAAAAAAGATAGCGACTATTGACTGAGTGCTTACAGTATGCTAGGCGCTGGCTTTGCGTGCCCTGTCTTATTTAACCTAGTAGCAATCATACTCAGCAAGTGTAAAGTGAGAAACTTGGAGAGGTTAAAAGACTCGCTGAGGGCTGTCAGGTAGTCAATGTGGGTCCACGATTCAAACTGAGCTGTTTGATTGAAGAGCCCAGGCTCTTTCCACCCAGCGCCTCCCAGCAGGATTGGGCTGGTTCTCCCTCCCCACCATCTCTGGCTTGGCCTGAAGCTGATGATGAAGTGAAAGGGGTATGATGGCTTCAAGGACCCCCAAATGCACCTTGGGAACCCTGCTCTGGGAAGCCGCGTGTGCCCTGTTGGAGACCTCAGGCCCCCAGGCCCCTCCAAAGCCCACACAGTAAGTCTTAGATGATGAGGGAAGCGTTTGACCTGCTCACACATTTGTTCCTTGAACCTGTGCAGAACATGCTCTGGGGGTGAGGTTTGATGTAGGGAAAGTATGTTTCACAGGGAAGTCAGTACACAGATCAAATGCAAGTGCTGTGATGGCCAGAACCTCTAGCTCAGGCTAAGAAGAGGTTGAAGGAACATTGGAGAAGGCTTCCCCACAGCTAAACCAGAAAGCACTGCAGAAGTGGGCAGATGGAGGTCAGGTCTTGGCCCCAGTTTCTGCGTGGGCCAGGAGTGCAGCGTCACCCCTTGCTCCCCAGAACCCAGAGCTCTCTGTCAGCTGACCCAAGCCCTACACGGGTGAGAGGAGGCTCGTGCAGCGCTCCAGTCTGGGTGCCACTTCCACTTCCAAACCAGCCAGGCTGCCACCTCTGCCTCTGGGTCCCCAGGGTGCCCATTCCTGACTTTAACAGTGAGCTCTCCCACTTTCTAGAAACCAAAGAAAGACCCCAAGCCCTGCCCACTGACCCCCTGTGCTCACTTCCTTTGGATTCTGCCTTATTTGCTAAAATGTTCCACCAACACTGAGTGAGCACCCCTCTCTTGGTCAGTTGGGGAGCCAGGGATATAGACTGCAAGACTGGTCCCTGCATGGAGGGCGTGCTCCCCACAGTGGGCTCTCAGCCATGCAGTCCCTTGCCACACAGGCAGCAGGACCCCAGTCCGGCCGGGGTTGGCCAACTTTAGCTGGTACAAATTATAGCTCATAGGAAATGAGCGGTTAGGGAGGAAACTATAAAAATGACATTTACATATGCATATAATAGCGTGGTAAATAAAAGTCCTAAAAGACTTCCAAACCAGTCGGATTCTTGGTAGAAAACACCCGCTCGGGAAGATAACCTTGCTGGGTCCACCATGCCTGGCATCTCAGAGTCCAGATGTGCTCAGTTTCAGGTTTCAAGAGGCTTTGCCCCAGCCTGCCTTCACTCCCTTTACATCCTCTCTTGTGTTGTTTTCTCATATGTCACCAAGAAGCATGTTCTCACTGCAGTGTTTCAACATGTTATTCTGAGCAGGAGGGAGACCAAGGAACTGGAGGAGGGAAGCCAGACCTTCCCTGGACAGGACACCCCACCCCCCACCCCTGGCATCCCCAGCCAGTTACCAAAAGGTAACGCTGTCTCCAGCCACCCTTCCCAGCATGGACTCCTCCCGACCCTTTCTTCTCCACACCCCCTGGCACTCTCTTCCTCACTGAGGATTGTGGACATGTGGAAAGTT